CGCCTGCATCGCCCGGTGCCGGCTGCCGGGCATTCGCTCCGCCGCGTTTCATTTTCTCGGCGCTTGCTCTCAGCCGATCGCTCTCCGGCCTGCCGCTCCCGAGTGTCGGCGGGCTAGGCCTGCCTCGGAGAGTGTCATCGTCAACCATCAGCACGCGACTGAGCAGCTCCGGGCCGGAGGCAGAAACCTGGGTTCTGCTCCCCACCCTGTCCCCTCCGGGTCACCTTGGAGAGGCGACTTAAGAACCCCGTTTCTGCCTTTGCAAAACGGGCAATAATAACACAGACCCTGGAGTCCCCTGAGGGCCCACTATATCTTATTCAGCTTGGCGTTGAGCTTTCCCCTGCGCGTGGCTCACGTGGGCGGTCTTAAAGCTTTTCCTACTGGGCTGGAGGATACAATGAGATGATACAAAGTTAAATGTATACTTTGCTTCCCATTTTTCCCTTTAGATCCAGGTATTATTTTTTTAACCTGAAACCAAATTAATAATTTCCAAAATGTTTCGAGCGTTTGATTACCAAAGAACAGAAATAACCACCCAGCCTCGTGCCCAGATTCAAAACAAAAACCACGGAGATCTAGTAGGAATATAGGGCTAATCTGTAGCAACGCGGCTGGTGAGTGGGGGTGGGAGTTATCTGTTAAAAAGAAAAGGTGGAGCAGAGAAAACACGTCTGTCCTTTTACTTGTGAAGCTCACTACGGGGTATGACACTGCATATATATTTTGGCTCAGTAGTGGTCAAAAGCACAGTGATATAGTAGCAAGGCTGGTGCCAGTAATTGCAAGAGTGTCTGGCATCCAGAGAGTAGAACATGGTGACTGGCTGTAAAGAATGTGTGGCATCGTTCACACAGTGATCCTTCATCCAAGCTAGTGATGGTAATTGCAAATACCTTATAAAGCTGTAAGGAAAACTCAGGTTTTTAGGGTGTGCATTCGTTGACTTTTTTCCCTCCCATCAACCTCTTTCAGAATGAGGAAATTGAAGCAATGGCAGCTATATATGGCGAGGAATGGTGTGTCATTGATGACTGTGCCAAAATATTTTGTATTAGAATTAGTGACGATATAGATGACCCAAAGTGGACACTTTGCTTGCAGGTATTTTTTCCCCTTCTCTACAACCATTTTCTTTTATCTTTTTTTAACTTTACTTATTTACTTATTTTTACACAGCCATTTTCAACTTACAATATTGACTCTATATGATTGACTACTATTGTGTTTTTCTAATGATTATTCTTGTGTGACTTGTTCTGAATTGTCTTTTTTTGTTGATGGCATTTGTTAACCACTGACGATCTAAACATATGAGTAATTAAATCTCAGATCACTTTCAAGTTAACTTTCATTGATAGCCTCGATCTTTCCTATCTCAAATATTTTATTTATTTAAGTGTTCTTAATGTACCTTGGCAGACTTGAGTTTCACTTCCATTATCCTGTCCATTTAATAGGAGAGGGTCTAAACCTGGGAAGATAGCTAAAATTTAAGAGGAAGAATAGGTTAGTAATTGAGATGGTTTATAGAGTAGATACTTATTTCTTACTTTTCTTTTTAAATTAAAAAAAAATTGGGGGGGTAATTAGGTTTACTTATTTATTTTTTAATGGCCAGGACCTTGTGCATGCTAAGCAAGCACTCTACCACTGAGCTATACCCTCACCCCTGATACTCATTTCTTTATTAATTGGGAATCACTTGTGGCTAGGATAAATAAATGAAAAGGTCAGCTATGGTTTTCTGTTTTAAAACTTATTTTGTTTATGACTGCTGATACTTTCAACATAAATGCTAAATTGAGTTTTTTGTCAGTATTTGTTTATAGTCATACTGATTTGAAAAGAAATGTGGTTCTCTACTGTTAGTTATTTAAAGTATTTAATAGGCTTTTAAAAAAATTTCTTAAGAATATCTGGAACAGTATAGTGCTACTCTATTCATTTGGGGTTAGGGTGTAATGCCTCTATTTCAGTTTTTCTTTTCCTTTTGTCTTTGTCCTCCCCACCCTTATTTTCTAAATTTTCGTTGCTTTTATATTTTCTTTGCATATAATGATCTCTTTCTTAAAAAACTGGCATCATCATTAAGGTAGAAGCATAAATATGAGGAGGGAATTCTCTCCTGAGATTTAACAAAACAGTGGTTTTGTTTTTTAGTTTGGCAAGTTAGTAGTCTGTCCAGTGACTAGTCTTTATAAATGTAGTTATTTTTGAGCCACGATGAAGTGTAAACAGATTTGTTTTTAAACTGCTTTGTAGGTGATGCTACCGAATGAATATCCAGGTACAGCTCCACCCATTTATCAGCTGAAGTAAGCTATAATTCTACACTTATATTTTTATAAAAGGATTATGCTTTAAAAAGATTATTTCTCTATACTGTACAGTGTTTTTATATAGAATATCTTTCTTAACAAAATGTATATAGACATTAAAAACACCTTTGGACTTGGTATAGAGTACTTAAGTAAAAAAGTTAAATTATGTAAGAACACATTAATGTATGCCACTCAGTATGAAAGAGGATCACAGTGTTCATAGGGGTAAAATAGCTGCAGAATTGTCTTTAGAGATGGGGAAGGAAATCTTCCATTTACGTAACCTAGTGATCTAGAAAGCCTGGTCTGTAGAGTTTCTCCTAACCTGGTTCTGCTGAACTCGCCAGTTTCTTGACATGCCTCTGCCTAAGCTGGGCTGCCTTCCAGGAATCATCCGTGGTGCCTGTGGTGCTTGTTCTGCCCATTGCTGTCGAGGTACCATCTCAGCAGCCCAGGCTTAGTCTTAGTGAGTCATGCCTGCTGAGTCCAAGTAACCTCTGATCCACCTTGCCTGCTTGACCTACTAAGATGTATAAACCTGTGCAGATGGAATTGCATTAAATCTCAATTACTAAAATGTCTATCTACCAGTGGGATTATTTTTTGTGTGTTTTAAAACCAGAGCAATACAATTTGCTATTAATAATGGTTCTGTAATTTTTCATTTTTTAAATTGAAAATGAAAGATGCGATCATAGAATACTTGTCAACATTAGTGCCCTTTTCAGAAAAAGTTAATTTTTGTACAGTCACGTGGCAACCAGCTTATTTGTTGGAATTGTTTTTAAGGCACCAGTTAGAAAAAAATTGAGAACTCTTGATAGTGTGGCAAATATAGTGACTCTGGAAATTTATATTCTGGAACTTATTCTGCCACTTAGGTAAACTTGGGCAGGTTTATGATAGCCTATGAACTCCCCTGTTTTTTAAACCATATTTTAATTGAATAATGTCGGTGTTAGTTTCATCATGGTTTTCTGGGAGGACTACATGAGTTAATGCCAATGAAAGCATTTTGGAACTGTATAGATTTATATAATACAACATTTTAATGAAAACATAATTTTTTTAAAAGTTAAATAAAAAAGATCAATTTGTGATTTAATTAGTATTTTCTCTTCAAGATATAAACATAATCTTTGAATAATCTTCTTTATTGTGTTTTATTTAATCTTAGTGCTCCTTGGCTTAAAGGACAAGAACGTGCGGATTTATCAAATAGCCTTGAGGAAATATATATGTAAGTGATAGATGATTTTTTAAAAAATTCTATTAGTGACTCTGTTGTGGGCTTTTGTTGGAACTGTGATATGTTAGGGTCTTTTCTAAACTTTTTGTTAAGCTGCCTTTCCATTAACAAAACGGATGCACTTGAAAGATTGGTTATATAATTTTATATATACATTTGATTTGAATTTTACTTACATACAAAAATACATTAGTATTTAGAACCAATAGCTATAAAAACACTTAGCTTATAAGGGTAAATTCAGATACTACTCTTATTTTGATATGCTATGTGAAATGAAATTTGTAACAGCAGAATCCTAAGCATAATTATTCATTAAACTACTATATACTTTTACTGGTAATTTTCTTGTATTAGGCTATAATACTGAGGGTCTGTTGTATACTGTATTTTTCACTCTTACATTCACTCAACAAATAGTACATGGCAGGCATTGTACTAGATCCTATACATACATAGTTAGCAAAACCAGAAATGGTCTCTGTTTTTATGGCATTTAGAATTTACTGGCAGAAGAGATATGACTCATAATATCACAAAAATGAGTGTAAAACTGTAGCTGTGGTAAGTTTTGTTAAGAGAAAGGTGTTAATGTGCAGTACTAGTTTGAAACAAGACCTTACTTTGTCTAGCAGGTCAGGGATGACTTGGTTGACTTAAAAGCTGAGTAACTAAGTGAAGATGACTCCAGTGAAAGGCCGCAGCGTGTGCAAAGGCTCTGTGTCAAGGAGATTGGCACATGTCAAGACACAAACTAATGGTGGTATGAAGTGGGAAGAGAGGAGAAGAGAGAGAAGGGAGCATGGTAGGAAAATGACATGGTGAGGTAGGCAGGGACGTTATGGAGAGTCCTGTAGGCCATGTTGAAGATTTTTGTCTTTTTTCCTAAGACTCCTGGGAAGCAGAGAGGGGCTTTAAGTGCTGTGATGCCATGATAAGATTTTCATTTTGAAAACACCCTTCTATTTCTGGGTGGAGAACTTGTTGGAAAGGAGCAAGAACAGTTAGGAGGCAGATGCAGTAGTCCAGAGAAGATATTTCTGTGATATTTAGTGATTCCGTCATCCTCAGCATTTAAGTATTACTTATTTTCTCAATGAAATGTTTTCTGATACCTGTCCCTAACCTTACTGGCGACTCTACCTTTTGTGCCCCCAACAAACTTTTCTGTAATCTTTTTTTATGCTTATTTACCAGTGTATCTCCCCTCTTAAAGTAGAATGAGATATACTGTAAATTGCTCACCAAAGGTATCGTAATTGTACATCTCATAGTCATTTTCTTTTCTTATCTTCCTTGATCTCTGTAATTTTGGGTGGTGTTGAACAGTTCCTCTTTCTTGAAAAACTTTCCACACTTGGCTTCTGTCATGTTAACCGTATTCATCAGTTAGATTTTTCTCCTGTCTATGCACAGTTTCATGCCCTCTGAAATGGCTTTCCATTTGCCTTTTTCTACCCCAAAAGTACCCCTCCACCCTTATTAAGAGATTCCCTCCTATAGGACACAACTTGCTGTTCTCTGTGACTAGTTCACTTGAGCTGTTCAAGAGTTAGGGAGGACCAGAAATTACAAATCATGTAGATGTGAAGCAACCTGACATCTTCAGAGTTAAGCAAGTAGTTTAACATGCCATGAATGTATACTGAGGTAGGTGTAAGAAGAAAGGATCTGTAAGCTGGGATATGGAGTTTGGAAATTATCTTGTAGGCTCTGGGCATTTTGGAAGGGGTGATGTAATCAGGTTTGGTTGGCAGTGTGGAGGGTGGTCTGTGAAGAGTGTGAAAGGAGGGACACCACAGGAAGAGCAGTTAGTAACTTGGGAGGGAGACAGTGGAGACCTTTATTAAGACAACAAGAACACGGGGGAGAAGAATGGTCCGTTAAAGAAGTACCTAAGAATATAAACTAGGATTTGGTGATTGAGTAGATGTAGATTAACTTGTTTATCATACCTTATTTTTGTTTAAATATTTTGTGTATGGACATTTTGAATATATGAAAATAATTATTTTAATAAAACAAAAGGTAAATAACAGATTTAAAAATACTTTGAACATTATACTAATTGGTGTTGAGAAAATAAAAGGGATTAAAATTTTTTTTAAATTTGAGTTTATAATGGTCCATTTCAACAATACTTAATTTAAAATCCAAGAAAATGATTATTTTAATTTCCCACAGCTCTTCACATTTTGATGTATCATGAAGTCTTAGATTTGGAAGTTGGAGAGTGAGGCTTGTCAAAGCAAAAATTGCACCGGACCAAGTTAAACAGGCAAGGAAGACTTTCTTCAAGACTATTGCAGTAGAGGAGAGAGGCAGAAGACAGTCTGAACTTGATTTCCTGAAACAAAAGGCAGGGGAGTTTGAAGGGCTGGGATGAACTGTAGGAAATACGGAAGGATGTGGGGGGGGGAGGTTGGTCAGTGAGTGTCCAGCATGTTGTTACTTCCTGAGTCTGCAAGTGTGTTTGTCTGTGATTAGGCCATCTTTGTTTGCAGATTGTTGCTCATCAGAAGTTAGGCTCCTGCCCTCCCACAGGGACTAGGAGATAGGGGCACTGTCTTCCCTGATGATTACATTTCAAAAGAATTGCTCCCAGGTCCATGAGAAAGGCACTCCCAGGTTCTAAAACTGACAAAACTTCTAAAAAGATATCCATACATCCCGAAGGAGCAAAGGAAGAATTTACAATTCTTTTCTAAAGAAAATGCTCTAAGAAAAGGGAGGTCAGAGCCTAGAGTCAGGAAGTTCTGCCTGTCTGAGGTTTAGTCAGGCTGTCTTGGCCAGGCTTCTGGAGTCAGGTTTTGAAATAGTGTGGCCTCTCTGAGTGTGTTTTCTCATCTGTAAAATGAGGAAAGTAGAATAATATCATTGTGAAGATTAACTGTCATAGTCCATGGCATGTATTTTAGCACTGTATTATCGTAGCTCTCTTTTTTGTTCTTGCTAAAGGAGTCATCTCAACCAGTTTTGTCATTTTGAAAATGAGATAATGGAAGTTATTCAGATCAAGTGATTTGTCTAAGGTCACACAACTGATTAGTACACTTCAGTAAATAGTTTACCCTTACGTCAACAAATACAAATGTTAGAGTATTAAAGATACAAAAATTAGAGCCATGATTAAAATGAGAGTCACAAGTAACTTGACTTTGTTTTGATCATTCTGTGTTGGATAATAGTTATTTAAGCATACTTAATCACAATTTATGTCAACTAAAATACCAGTTTTTAATCCAGGTTGGTCTTTTACTCAATTTGAAACAAATTGTATTCTGGACTTTTTATATTCAGCTACTTTACCATAATTTAATTTCATAAATAAAAGCTTAGCACTTCACTGCATAATAAGTAGTCTTCATATTTTGCTCCAGTTCTTAAGATTCAGCAGACTTCCTCTAGGACCACTGAGAGAGAGAGGACTCCAGCTTTTGTCTGTTCTAATTTATTCAGTCCTGTGAGAGATTTCATAACAGCAAAGGAAAAGTTTGAAAACCACCAAATCCTAGTCTATAGTTAAAAAGACATGAAAAATCAAATATACCTTAGTAAAGAAAAATATGAACAAACTATTGTCACATGAGAAAATAGAAATACATCAGTAACAACCATAGCAACAACAACCCACTAGATAGAACTTTTGGGTCCAAGAGCAAGGCTAATTTTCATTTTCTTCAGGAAACCTTTCACACCCACTACAACTTCCTTACACCAGATTTCAGTAAGTCTTGTTAAATGCTAGGGAAGAAAGCATTTGATAAATGATGTTGGGCAGAGTGCTATTGTATGCTATTCTGCGGGAAGCCATGGGCCAGAGGAGAGGAAATTTGGAGTTCAGGTTTAATTCTTCTTTATTATTTGGAAAAATTACTTACTAATTGTGGAAATTCTTCCAAGGTGTTTTCTGCTTCCCGCCTCCCCCAGTCCCCTAGCAACAACAGATCTGAATGGGACTATATATATTCACAGAGGGATGAATTTCCTTTCTCAAAGGGTGGTTGTAAGGATTAAGTGAGGTAACAAAGCATTTTATACATGTCTTCTATAAAGTAGGTGTTTATTAAACACTGGATATTACTGTTACTACTTTTGATGATGGTGGTGTGATGAAGTCAATGAATGATATCAGGATATGGAGACAATTACATACAAAACTGTAGATTTGTAAGGATGATAATTACAAACATTGAGACATGAGGCCCAGTTTTCTCATTCACTTCCCTACCCCCAAGGCTGCACATGGTGCTTGGTGTATAGGTGAGGGCTTTAAAGATCTATTGAATGAATTAAGAAAAGTCCACTTGAAAAGAAGCTACTTTTGTAAAATAAGACAAGATACTACTGTAAATCTGTTTTATAGATGAGGAAACAGACTCAGAGTTCAAGTGTCTTACTTGCCTAAGGGCACAGCTGCTTGATAAGAGAGCAAAATGCAGTGGTTGACCTGAGCTTTGGAGTAAGCCTGTGCTCACATTCTGACTTTGGACTTCTTACTGCTTATAAGACTGTCTTAGACAGGTTAGTTGATCTCTCTAGGTCTGTTTTCTCATCTGTACAATGGGGAAATAAGACTTGCTGTTTGAGACAATTAATGAGCATTAAATGTGTTGATCTAGATCATGTACTTTGGTCTTAGCATACATTCAATACATTTTACCTTTCTTTGTTTATACCTCTAAATCTTTTACTGAAAGGAGAGGGTGGGATTGGAAATTGTTTAAAAGAAACTCAAACAACATTCTCAATTTTTTAAAACTTTTCCAGTTGACTTTTTCTTTATCCAAAAAAGGCAGATTACCAAAGAACACAGGGTCATTTTAGTGCTAAGGAATTTTGGGTGAGATGGGGAGGATGTAAGGGTACAGAATTATTTGAAAACAGTGTTGTTTTTTCCTGTATGCTTGTTTTGAAAGTTTCCTTTGGTGGGTGCTGATGTGTGGTGATAAAGAGAGATAATGGTTTTAAGGGCAACTTTTAGAGGAAGGAGAGATAAGGTATTATGAAGTAGTGTGGTGATTTCTTTAAAACATACATATTAAAACTTATCTGAAATTACTGTCATTCCCTAAAGAGTAGATATTAGGGCCTTTATTTTATTGCTGTTGCCATCATTTAACATAACTCTGACAAGTTCTTTTTCTCAGTGTGCCTTTGAGATGGATTTAATCATCTGAGGCAGCCAAACAGTTATTTGGAACCAGAATGAATCAATTTGAGCAATAGAATACTTTGTTGAAAACAAAATATGAATGTAAAGTTTTGCACTGATTATCTTTTAATTTTAAGTCTTGTAAATTGGCTTTCTAAGGGATTTTATCAGATTATTTGTATTCTTCTTTGTTGAAATTAGTATACCAAATAAGTGGTTTGAAATTGTTCAAAAAGTTTAAAAAAGCAAGCAATGATTGGACATCAATACTGAAATTATATTCACTGATAGAAACTAAATCACATTTATATCTATCTTAATTTATCCAGTTCAAGTTCAGAAATTTCCTTTCTCCTCTTTGGCTACAACTCTTCTGCTTATTGTAAGTAAGCAGTGTTAATTTGGGAGCCAGTTGGAATTTTTTAATGTTGATATATTAAATACTCATCTATAAATATTAGTAATCTCATGTTTTTATAAATTCCTTTTTAAAAATGGTGGCTAGATTGCACATGATTTCTTAGATTCTAAGTATGTCTATATTTTCTTAAATATGAGAAGGAAATGTTTTTAATAATAATTTTTTCCCTCTGAATTTTGTTTAGACAGAATATTGGTGAAAGTATTCTTTATCTGTGGGTGGAGAAAATAAGAGATGTTCTAATACAAAAATCTCAGATGACAGAACCAGGTAGGATTGAAAAATGTTATCAGTGCTCTTTTGATTTACAGTAATTAAATTTTTATGTAGATATTCTAATTGAAAATTTTAATGAAAAATCTATGCTGTTTTATAGTTTATATATGATAAAATATGTTTCTCCTGAAAGTTTTTTACTTATGTAATTATGATAATTTCTTTCTATAAGGTTTAGCCTCTTTGGTTGCATATTACTGTAAACTCATAGAAATAGAATTTAATGGCTAAAGAACTTAGGTCAAAAATCTGCTTTCTTTGACTACTGTTAAGGTAATATGAACCATGTAACATTCTTCATGAATTATTAGACTATATAAGTTAGACATTAGCTTCAAATGAGTGTAGTGCTTATATAAAGAGAACTTTGGAAAACACACTGACCAATATTTGGGATATAAAAATTGACTTTGAAAATTGATTTTTTAAATTGAGATGTAATTCACATATCATAATTATTCACCCTTTTAATTACTCACCAATTAAAATGTATAATTCAGTGGTTTTTAGTATATTCCAAACTTGTGCAGCCATCACCACTATCTGATTTCAGGACATTTGAAAATGATACTGTGCTTTATTACTATGAATCTTTTATTTAATCATTAAGTATATAACAACATGGAAATTTCTAATGTTCTCTGTTTACTTTGTTCCACTTACCACAAAGGCTTTTGACAAGAAAATAACTCTTCTAAGCCTGATTTTATTTTCAAATAAAGTTTTATTGTTATGTAGTCTATTTACTAATTTTCAGATGGGTTATTTATAGGGACCAGTTATTGAAGATGCCCTCATCAAAATAAGTATACATTTAAAGTTGATAGTAATATATATTTTTCCAGAGCATTTTACTATTTTTCTATAGAAGCAAGTGTTTTTACTGCTTCCGCTAAAGTTAAAGAGATAAATGATATGAAGATATTCTGGTCATGGGACAATCTGTTTTGAAGTATTTTCCTTAACTTTTAATGTTCCATGTTCTGATTTTGCAGCATTTCAGGGCATCTGAGAAGAGTGGTTTCAAAACAAAATTGATTTTTGCCAATCCACCATTCTAGAGTGTGGGATAATTGCAAAAATGCAATTGATACTGGTAAAAATTTAGGACTCCAAAAAGTTTGGGATCACTCAACTATTAGAAAATTTTAAAAATTATTGATCTTAAAAGTGATATTTTCCTTCTCCCAGCTATATCCATAATTTAGTTTAGCCACTCTTGAGATTTGAGAGTTATTTGATTTAGGTTGTATAATTTATAAATTAAAAAAATTCTGTTTGGGATTTTTAAAATCAAAAATTGTTTTTGTAGACTTCATATTAAAATGGAAGAATTAACAATTCTGAAGTACAAATAAGGTATAAGATAGTGTTTGATATATCTCATGAGAATTTTCTTCTCCAGGGTACTTACTTGACAAGCAATTTATTTTTATTTTACTATTAATCTTCAGTACAAATTTATTATTTATTATTTCATTTTTTCTACTATAGAAATATTAAATTTTAAAATAATTATATACAGCTATTTAAACTTTAAAAAAATTCTGAACTAATTTTGGGCTTATAGAAAAGTTGGAAAATAGTCTCATATCCCTTGCCCTGCTTCCCCTAGTACCATCTTATATAAAGTATAATGATCAAGAACAGAAAGCTAACATTGATATAATATCAACTAAGCTAAAGAGCTTATTTGAATTTCACTAATTTTTCCACTACTTTTCATTCTGCTGTTTAGGGTCCTGTCCAGAAATCTATGATGCATTCAGTTATTTCTCCTTACTTCCTTCTAGTCTGTAAATAGTTCCCCAGTCTTTCCTTGACTTTCATGATCTGACACTTTTGATGAGTACTGACCATTTTGAGGAATATCCTCAGTTTGCGTTTGCTCATTGTTTTCTCATGATTGGAGTAAAAGTAGGCATTTTGGTGAGAATACCACAAAAATGATACTGTCTTCTTTACAGTGTATTATATCAAGGAGTTCATGGTGTCATTATGTTTTATTATTGTTGATGTTTACCTTGATTCCTTGGTTAAGGTGTTATCTGCCAGATGTCTCCACTGTAAAGTTACTGTATTGGTTCAGGTTCTGTAGAGAAACAGAACCAGTACTAGGTGTATATATTATGTTTGTGTGTGTGTGTGTGTGTGTGTGTGTATGTATGTATGTATGTATTTACTTATTTGTAAAGAGGAGGAGGGAAAAAGAGAGAGAAGGGGGAGAGGAGGGAGAGAGAGAGGAAAAAGAGGGTGAGAGAGAGAGGAAAAAGAGGGTGAGAGAGATATTGATTAACTGATTTGAAGGAACTGGCTCACGAGATTGTGTAGGCTAGCAAGTCCAGAGTCTGCAGGGTGGGCTGGCAGGTTGAGACCTAGGGAAGAATCGATGCTGCAGCTCAAGTCTGAAGGCTGTGTGCTGGCAGAATTCCTTCTGTCTCCGTGGAAGTCAGTCCTTTTTCTTTTAAGACCTTAACTGGATGAGGTTCACTCACATTATGGAGGGTGATCTGCTTTACCCAAAGTCAGTGAATTTGAATATGAATGCCATCTAAGAAATACCTTCACAGAAACATCTAGAATAGCGTTTGACCAAAATCTGTGTACACAGCCTAGGCAAGCTGACATATAAAGGTAACTATCAGTTGCTGTCTTTCCCTTTGTAGTTGTTAAGTATCTTGTGGGAGATACTTTGAGGCTCATGTATATTATTTCGTGGGTTAAAATTCCATACTATCATTATTTTGTTGCTGAAATTGTTCCAGGTTTGCCCTTTAGGAGCTCTCAGATAGGTTCCTGTGTTCTTTTTATAAGGTCCCAAATTTTTTTGAGTATGTCTTTACTCTCTGGAATCACAGGATATTCCAGGCTTATCTTGTATTTTCCTTGTCTCAACCCTGGAGTCAACCCCTTCTCATGGGAGCTCTGGTCCCTCTTACTAAGAATGGTATTTAGAGACGAAGACTAGTGATTTCTTAAGTGTAATTTCTTACTGTCTTATGATCACTCATCATGTCTCATATCCACTTAGGCCCAGATGTAAAGAAGAAAACTGAAGAGGAAGATGTTGAATGTGAAGATGATCTCATTTTAGCATGTCAACCAGAAAATCCAGTCAAAGCATTGGATTTTGATATCAGTGAAAGTCAGACAGGTATGTTATAAGTTTCTTTTGAGGAAAGTGGGATGGTAGCATTATAAAGTGTTCTGAATGGTATAGTAATTTAGTAAACTCTCACATGTGAGGAAATATTTATTTGTAGAGAACTGGGTTTTTTTCCCCTGTCTCTTGGCCATTTTTGTATTTGCAAGACCTATCAGAATGGTGAGGGAAAAACAGAAGTTTGCTTTTTTTTTTTGCTACTAATCTAGAATTTTGAATTAGTGGCAGGAGAAATTAAAACTAAGAAAAGCTGTGTTAATATTTCCAATTCACATCCTGTTTTTATATTTCTATTTTGGAATCCTTAGCTGTCCCTGATGTCTCAGAGTTAAATTTTAGTCTATGCTCACAGATATAAGTATAATAATTAAAGGTGCAGTCACTGAATTAAAGCTAGTAAAATGACTTTAAGATTTTAGTTTTTGCTTAAGCAGATCTGTTTCATCATTACTTAGTATTCAACTTATGAATAGGCTGATGTGATAAATCAGTTCTATGTTTCTATCAGAAAATATGTTCCATTTTAGTATTTAAAAATTTTGAATGATACTATTAGTTTCCTCAAGTCTTTAAAAAACATGATAGATGAGGGGGAACTTTTGGAGTAAGGAGTCTCCTATGCCATTATATAGCAGCTTTTAAACAGTATCATGAAAATTTAAAGTTCTTGTATAGTGTCTCAGGACTAGTAGAAAGGGACAAAGAGGAAATGAAAGAAAAGACACAGGATAGCTGCCCCTATTTCAGTCTAAGTAGCTTCCATTTTACTCATTCATGTATTATGGATTTGGCATAAGATCTCTTTTGGGAAATAGGATCCACTATTAAAAGAAAAAGTGAAAAATCAGTCATAAGAAATAGCATCCAGTTCGTATTAACCTTAGTGCTGTATTAGTACAGTGCTCACAGTGGTTCAAGAGGAGAACCCTACTCGGGGAAGGTAAAACATCCTGCATAAACCTGGTTTCTTGTTTTAGTCCTGCCACAAACAAGTGCAGTGGTTTTTTGCAAGTTATTTAAAGTCTTCAGAAACATTTTTACAAATATAGTTGAAGTGTTTCATCAATTAGAAGGCAAACTGACTTGGTAAGTAAGATTCAGCAGATCAGTGAACAGAAATAGGAAAAAAATTAAATTCTTCTTTTCTGAATAACTTTTCGTCCTAAATGAGGCAGGTGCAGTAGCTAGGATGGTTGATAAGTTTCTCAACTATGTTAAGAATAAAACTTATGATTCTTAAGCTTGTTTAAAAGGCAGAATAACTGGAAATCACATTACTTGATGGAATACCAACTTGTTGTACTGTTGACATATTCAGTTCTGTGAAGTAGGAACAGTTTTATTAGCTGAAGACATTATATTACAGCTATACAAAATAAAGTCATAGGTTTCCTAACCCAGAGGTCCATCAACAGTAGAGTCGATAAATATGTTATGGTGTATTAGCAGCTGTCAATCTTTTTGGTCTTAGGACCCCTTTATACTCATAAAAATTAGGTATTACACCAACTTACACTACTGAATCCAGGATTTGAGTCCCAATCCACCATTTCCACTGGGTGACCTTGGCAAGTGAAAATCATTTATAAGTCAAGTAGTTTTATCTTAATGTACAATATAGTGGGAAACTTTTTACTAAAATTATAATTTAATTTTAAAGGACGACTATTGCTGGTTATTTGAGTTGATTCACCATATAATTTACATCTCTTTCCCAACTTCCCTCCCCATACCATTGCCAATTTTTCAGTATTTGAATGTAAAAATTTAAAAAATAAAAGTAATATAATTCTTTAAATTTATAGAAATAGAAGAGTTACCTCCGATTGATCATGGCATTCCTATTACAGACCGAAGAAGTACTTTTCAGGCACACTTGGCTCCAGTAGTTTGTCCCAAACAGGTAAAGTTACTGTGTCTGGCTCACTCAGATGTTGTTTTCCCAAAGTAATTAAAGTAAATGATTTTGCAGTATTATCCTTGGTTTTACTATTGTTAAATTTTCATGCAAGAAAAAAAGTATTTGCTCATTTTCTACCCCCAAATTACTAGGGATCACAGAACATTGTTTCTGTTTATCACTGCTTTCAAAATTGTATCTAGACTTTGATTTTCAAAGAAGAAAAACCCATTGTGGTAGTGTAGAAAATTATGGTGCTTAATAGCTTGTTAAAAAATTATTTGTCCTATCACGTGGGTCAAACTGAGTCTGTTCCAGTGTTGCCCAAGTAAGGGGACAGTGGACAGATTGGTTGAACCCAATTCTTCCCAATCTGAATTCCTTTCCCTATCTGCTTCTTGATCTTAGGTCACCTGATTTCCACCCAAGGATTTCAGAATGGTAGACCTTTCAGTCAAAAATGGTATTCCTAGGTCTTTGTCTTTCTCACTCTCTTTTCAGCAGAATCATTTTCTCCTTCCTTGCTGCTGTAATCTAGCCTAAACTTTATTAATGTAAGAGACAATTTCAGTATGCCTATAAAGTTAAATTAATCAAAAAGTCTCATTAGCTTAACATAGGTTTTAAGCATTAAGTCTCTTTCTTTTGGTCTCTGCAGCTACTCTACTGTCTAAGTTCTTCTGAAGCCCTGACCTACAGGGATATAGTTCTTTGCACAAGGCTTTTCACTCTCTTTTGGTCATTGGAAGAGGAAATTCTTTTCTGCATTGACTGCGGTCAGGATAACAGCTTTTGCTGTAGGCTTATGGGGGCTTTTCTTTCAGGAACCCTATTTTGTCCTTGGCCATTGCTGATATTCTTGTTGCTAGGGTCCTCCTTAGACATTGTTGTGAATCTTTTCATCCTGGATCATTTTCTGCTTTGACTATAATTCTGATTATAGTCACTTAGACTTAATCATAATTTGTGACAGCTGGGATAAATCTTAGAGGTCAGTGACTACTTTATTTTACTGTTCAGGAATCTGAGAGTCTGAGAAACAAGATTGCACAATTTTTGATCCAAGTTGGTCTCCCTGACTCCAGCTCAGTCTTCCCTACCTCCAGTATTTCTTCTATACTCCTTGCTAGTTACCTTCCTGAAAGATCTGACCACATGTCATTCCTCCCCACACACCTAGTCATCTTTGCTGATTTCTATTGGATACAAGTAAAAAATTTCAACTCATTATACAAGGCCCTTTGTGATATGACCCTGCTTTATCATTCTGATACATCTTCTATCATCTCATTCATACTCTAAGGTTTAGCTACAGAAAACTGTTGGTCACTTTCTGAACCCTTCTCTTTATGTCCTGCTAAAGTTGCCAGATAAAATATAGGATACCTAGCTAAATTGAAATTTCAGATAAACATTATTGCATGGGATATACTTATAATAAGAAATTATTTGTGGTTTATCTGAAGTTCCAATTTAAGCATCCTTTGTTGTTATTTACTAAATCTGGTACATTTGTACATGCTGTCTTCTCTGAATGGAATGGCTTCTGCTTGTCCCCTCTCCCCTTTTCCCTTTGGATGCAGAAGAATTGTCACTTATCTTTCAAAACCTGGCTCATGTTACCTCCTCATATAGAGAGTTTTGGTTTTATCACATTTGGAACATACCATTACTGTACACCTGTCACATTGGATACATCTGTTTGGTAAATTTGCAGAGCTCATTTCTAGAAATTCTCATATTTTTGTTTAAATTTCTCTACATGGGGAAAAAACTCTATATATAAGTACCTTGGATAAGGTTAGTGCTTAAATATTTGTTGACAACTGGTGCTTAAAAATACCAGGTCTATCATTTTTATACCAATTGAGCATTCCAGTGTCTGCCCCTCAGATGAGGAGAAAACTTTGGAAATGGCTTTTTCAGATTCTTTAACTATTTCAATACAACAGTATATCTGTCAGTATGCTTTAAGTTTTTTTAAGCATTTATTTATGGAACAGATAAAAATTATACATTGTTTGTATTACTGCTATTTTTAAGGTGAAAATGGTTCTTGCCAAATTGTATGAGAATAAGAAAATAGCTAGTGCCACCCACAACATCTATGCGTACCGGTAAGTGACCATCACAATTCTAGGAATGTGCGATTTGTAACAAATGGGGGAAACTGATGCATGATTTAAAAAACAACAGCCGTTATGTGTTTTTTTTTACATTATAAAAGTAGTATCTGTAGAATATTTGGAATCTGTAGAAAAAAAGAATCATAGGAAAATGCAACTCTTTTCTGCCATTAAATTAACAGATACTGTGAAATATTTTCTTTCCTGTGCCAAGTTTTCGATGCTTTACTCTAGTATCCAGTTTTTTTCTAAATGTAACAGAAGCATTTTTCCATGTTGTTATAATCACTTTATAAACATTATTTTAATGGCGGAATAATATTTGAGCTCCAGACCACAATTTAACCATTTCCTTTTTGTTTTAGTTTTTTTTTCCCCACTATTATAAAAATAGTCCTGTGAACATCTTTGTATGCTTTTTGAACTATTTCCTCAGGGTAGGATTCTTTTTTGAAATGAAACGGAAGTATAATTTAAAAGGAAAAAAGAACGGATTCCTAGTAGAGTTATCAAAAAGTGTGAACCTTTTTGAAACTCCTGATACATACTGCCTTTCTACATACTGCCTGATACATACAAACTTTCTAAAGTTTTTCTTTTAAACCAATTTATGTTCCCATTAGCAGTGAATTTAGAGTGCTTCTTTCACTACATATCTTTTAGTTTTGAATACAAAGTTTTTATTCAAATCTCTGCTGATTTGTTAGTAAAGAGATGAAGGTATATTTTTTAAAATATGAACTTAGTACAGACTTAAAAGTATAGCATTTAGGACTAAAATAAATCAGAATATAGACATAGGAATTTGGTGCAAATTTAAAATGTGATTTAGACTATTTATAAAATCTAGGCTATCTAAAACTCAAAAATCTGTAAAAAAAATTCATCATTTTGGATAGGTGAGTTTTTAATATTACTAAGTCACATCCCTTTAAGTGCCAAAACTTACAAAAAACTATTTGTTATGTAATTCCCTACTTACTAGAGTATCAGTAGACAGAATTTTGATGTTTTCTTAATGAGTTAGGATAATCAATATAAAAATTTGAGATTTGCACATATTAACTACTACAAATAATAAAAAAAATTTCTTCTGTATAGTACAGGGAGCTATATTCAATATCTTATAGCAACCAATATTCAAAAAGAATATGAAAATGAATATATGTATGTATATGACTGAAACATTATGCTGTACACCAGAAATTGACACATTATAACTGACTATACTTCAATTAAAAAACTATATATATGAGAGATTAGACCGTGCTTGCTCTCAGTGGTTAGAATGTGCTGTAAAAGTATTAATAGGCACCGGTCATTCATCCTACATATTTCTTGTGTGCCTACTCTGTGCTAAGTACCTGAAAGTTAATTCTAATTATTTTAGCAACTCTGCGACTGTAAAGAAGTTAACTTTTTCAATCACAAAAGTTGTTAAGTGGTAGAGCTGAATTTGAGAATCTCATTTATCTCTTTTTATTCCTTCATGGCTGTGTGGCTGCATTTTCAGTAGTCACCGTACATGATGTTGATCTTAAGTTATCAGAAAGTTAAATACTGTGCCAGATACTCTATTACAGGCCCCAGAGTGTTGGTTTTTAAGTTCTTGAGTATATTTGCATATTAATGGGTGATCAGCTGTCACTTCTCACAGATGTCAGCATGACTGTAGGTAGCAGCCCCTCCAACTCACCCCCTGGTAAAACTGATACTTGGGAATGAAGGAGCTTAGCTTGTCAGAATTGTGTGTCAGATAAGACTAGAAAGGCACAAAGTACAGGCTTGAAGGACTCCACAGGGAGTTAAATTAATAACTATTATTCGGTACATGGACTTTGTACATGGAGTGTTGTATATTTTGAATGCTTAGGGCCCTTTTAAGGTTACTTCCTGGTTCTTGGGCTGTTCCTGCTTTGGAGTTATGGGGCATTCTTCAGGCTACTGGTACACACAGCTATCGGCTGCTGCATCATTATCTTCCTGGCATGTGAGGAAAGGGTTAGTGAAAATATCCATGGTACTTCTTTTTTTTTTTTTTTTAAGGCTAACAGTACTGATTTATATAGTCAATTTTTTTCATTTCTTCCATAAAATCTTAGTGTGTTAGATTATAATTATAAGCCTAATATAAACCAACCCCTGACTCCTTTTTGCCTTAAATTTGCCATATAAAATTTAGTTTAATAGTGCTAACTTTCTTGTCTTCAAATGAGGCCAACTCTATAGAGTGTGGTCATAGTAGATGAGCAATAAATATTGACTGAATGAGTGAATGGATAGCTAGATTGGTGGATGGAAAGATGAATGAATGGATGTGACTGCTATAATAAAATAAATCTAATCGACTTAGGTGTATACATAAGGTAGTATCTGGCTTTTTGTAGCCATAGTCAGGAAGATGTCTTTGCTACCTTTGCCTAGTCCTGGATGGTTCCACTGGCAGGGGCCTAAGAAATCCATCAGATGGCATACTTAACTGGCACTAACTGGCACTGTTTTCTTTTTATATCTATACTTATTTGCCAAGCTTCTTCTACTACAGTGTAGCTCTACATTATTATTATTCCAAATGCTAACTTTCTAGATAATTTAAATGGGTAAAAATACCATGATTTTCCTCTGATATTAATAACTATCCAGGGGGAAATTATAGAGAAAAATAAATCTTACAGTTCTTAGAATGAGGAAGAGAGATAAATGCTTGGTTGCTAGAATAAGATGTTAGGAAAGCATAAAGGGTTAATTTACATTGGTTTTATCACCTCCATCTTTTTTATATACTTTTTGTCTCTTTCACTAGCGCTTGGGCTCTCTGATGGTGGGAGTACACCACTTATTTTTTTATATCATTTCATAGTGCCTAGGGTGTAGAATGCTTACATACAGTATGGTCTCAGTAAATGTTTTCCATAATCTTGGCTTCAAGATTAAGTGGAAGAAGTGTCAGATATGTAAACTCACCTTCCCATAATTGTAGCACTTCTGATTTAAAGGAGGCACCTTTCATTCCTAGCTTTCCCAAATATAAAAAGTGGAGCATACTGGATCGTAAATCATCAGTGAAAAGGTAGCTAACATATAGTTCAAGAAGGATTTTTAAAAACAAATATGCTGGTTTTGGGAGTAAATTGATGGCACCAAGTGTGAAGGAGTAACTTTCATTACAATATTTCAAGATTTCAAAGTATAACACTGTTATATGTATTTCTAGAATATACTGTGAGGATAAGCAGACCTTCTTACAGGACTGTGAGGATGACGGGGAAACAGCAGCTGGTGGGCGTCTTCTCCATCTCATGGAGGTAAGTCTGAGTTAAACCCTGTTAATCCTGTTTTGTGAGCCATAAAATTTCTCAACAAAACAGAGCTCCATTTAGGAATAAGTAAATCTATAGACTATAGACTATATAATATGAGATATATTTGGTTTTATTAGTAGTTAATTTTTAAACATTGAGAGTTATTTTTAACTACTGGATATGGGGCAGAAAGCAAAGGGTTAATAGCAAGTGCTGTGCTTTCAGGCTCTTTCAGTTATAGACAGAAGATTATCTTCAGCTCTGGAAATACTTACCCTTTTTGTTTCATGACAGTTTCCTCCCCTCTATTTCTCTGTTTCTGTCTTTGCAAAACTCCTGTTAGTCAGGTATTGGACTTCTGGATAGATCCAGAACGTTTCTTTTTTTAATTAAGTTGTCCATCTCATTGCCTTACTTTCTGAGACATTTTCTTGACTGTCTTCCAAAATTTCTATTGAATTAAAAAATTATTTAGCAACCGTGTATTTAATTTTTAAGAGTTCTTTCTTGTTCTCTTTTTTCCCCTTGTCATAGTGTGCTATTCAGCTCTTACGGATGCTGTATCTTCTAGTTTCTCTGAGTATACTAATTAGTTCCTTTTTTTAGATGTTTTTTCCCTTGAATTTTTCTTGCTCCATTTTAGTTTGTTTATCTTGTCCTTTCTCTTTCATGCTGCTGGATTTTCTTCATCTGTCTGGTGATCATTGATTGTTCATTAATTTTAAGAATGGATTGTTTTTTCCCCTAAGGTAGTTGCTATAGTTTCTTCTGCTATTGTATGTGGAGGTTTGTTTTCTAACCAGGCCATTCCCTTGATAGGAACCCTGTGTGGGTCAGGCCTGTAGACTGGTGGGCTTCACATTAAGGGCAGCATTTGGCAAGTGTCAAACTGAGGAAGACCTCGCTGGGAGGCTCCAGTGATCACTCACGCAGCCCCAGTTCTCTCTAGTGGTTTGTTCAGAGGCAGGTTTTGTGTTGCTCTTTGGCCAATGGGTAAAAAGCTGCCTAAGCTAAGCTGCTCTGGTTGAAGTCACCAAGAACTGGAATCCCACCTGCATGATCTCCCCTTCACTCTGCCCAGTGGCCCCGAATTTGGAATTCCAGGACACTGTGGAGCACAGTGTTTGTTTTCTAAACATTCTGTCCCCTGAATTGTTACTAATCTCACTCTGCTCACTCATGGTTCTGCCATTAAAGTCATGGGGAAATTTTATGTGCAATTCTATATATGGGTTTTTCATTTTCCTTTAAAACTCACATTTGCATCGGTCTGTATATGTGTTTAAATATGCTTCTGAACATCACAGATTTTGAATGTGAGAAATGTCATGGTGGTGGTATCACGCTGGTATGGAGGGATTCTGCTAGGACCTGATCGCTTTAAACACATCAACAACTGTGCCAGAAACATACTGGTGGAGAAGAACTACACAAATTCACCGGTAAGTGGCTACTGATAGAAACATCTAGAGCTTCTTACCACTGCCTGTGAAATTTAAAAAAAGAAGAAAAAGAAAACTATGAATGAAACAGAATGAGTGAGGTGCATTAGAAAAACCTCTAGACTAGGAAACTGGAGACTTTCAGGTTTTTAGTCAGAACAGTGTGATTGACTAGTTATGGGACCTTGGGCAAATTACTTCATTTCTTCAAACCTTTATTTCATAGATTCATAGTTTTATAAAACCAATTTATACCAGTTAGTCTCCACTCCCTAAAATTGAGGCCTATAGAAGCTGTAGCTAATGCTACAGTGAACTCGGTGTTCTTTAAACATCTATAAAATTCTAACATTCTCTGTTAGTATCAAAGCATATTCCCTTCCCCTTGGCATGATGCCTTCTTCCTTTAGACTCTGAGTTTTTTTTGTTTCGTATTTCAAATGTGTTCATATCTATTTTATTTAAACTTTGCTGCCTTACTTTGGAAAGTGGACAAAAGACTAAATAATATTGAAATTACTCAAACAATACTTTAAATAAATGTTTTCCTTGATTATCCTGGATTGTTTTAAAAGTGTTAAAATAGGCTGTAAAACAGAAAGATGATGCATATGTAAGCAATTATACTTTGACTATTATACATATTCTATATGACTAGATTTAAAATTTCTAAGCCTTCATATAAATGTAGGGAGAGTCTACACTGATTTACGTCTTTTTCAGGAGGAATCATCTAAGGCTTTGGGAAAGAACAAAAAAGTAAGAAAAGATAAGAAGAGGAGTGAACATTAATACCTGAAACTATATGAAAGGTTAATTTGCCTATAATTATATACAAATTCCACAGTCATCAAGGAATATATTGTGCAGAGAGAGGATCCTGCACTGTTCAAGTCAGCTGATTCATTGTGGACACCAACATTATCTTTTCTTCTTTGGTTATATCATCTGCCAAAAATAGAGAACTTGTGTTATATTCATGTGTGTTTCAGAAGAATTAATTTGAACTTAATCACTACTTCATCTAATTTTAGGACGGTAACAGTTGCCCAGGACAGTACCTGAATTAACTGTCCATTTCAGTACATGTCAAGTGCCTTTGTTAGGTGGGGAGGAAGTGTCTCTAGGGTAATAGAAATACCTGATTTCTTGTCATCAGGATTCTCATTTTGTTAAATGAATATTGCCTTTTACTGCTCTTTATGGCTTATTGGAATAGGGGCTCACTGACGATTGGTCTTATAATAGAGTGTCTTCTGTGATTTTAGTATGTAAGTATGTCACCTTTCATTTTATAGTGTTCATCATGGTGTAATGGATTAAGTGAAAATCCTGGAGTATCCATCTACAGTTAAGTGCTGAAGTGATAATTCATCTGACATTTGTTAGCACAAGTGTTATGCCTCAATTTCTGTCTCAAATTGGTGATTGTGAAATTTCAAAAAGTGATTTTCTAGTCTCTGCTTCTTTTGTTTAATTCTTGTAATGTTAAGCAATAAGTATGGTGTGCCAGTATTCTCCTCCCACCCCTGAAATGTGTTGGTGTAATCTTCTGGTTTCTTTTAACAACCTGGAAATACCTTTCTTGTGATCTTCACTGAGGAGTTAGAACCACACTAGAAGCTGTGCTGTGCATAATGGGACATTCATAGAATGGGGTAGAGGTGGCAGAACAGCACTGGTGCAGGGCAAGGGTATGTTGTGTAGTTATATAAATGTGGTGCGTTTCCCATCCACACTCCAGCTATCTTTCTCAACTCCTTGACTTGGTGGAGAGAAGGAACAAACTTATGGAAAAATAGAAACTCCCTCCGTTTTTCCATTCTTATGAAATCTTCCTTTTCATCAGTGTTTTATAAAATTTTCTTCTTTCATCTGCAAGTTGTGCAATTTACCTCTAGGCATCTAGACAATAAATATATTTATGAGATATAACAATAAGTCTTAACTGTTCCCTTTCAGATATGATTGCAAACGATTACTTAAAATTATTAATTGGCCATAGATTTGCCTGATCTTCCTTTCCTAACAGAGGGAACAGAAATAAGGAAACAACTTGGGATGGTGCTGGAGCATAGAAAACTTCAGAGAAAAATGGACACAGATATTTTTTCCTTATTCTCTGATGTTTTACCTTTAAGAGATCCAAATCCCGACTTGGTATTTTTAAGAATCTAGTAAACAACTTTATACTAGGATGGATTCTGAGAAATAAAATCTGAATTATATTTGTTGTAAGTGTGTTTGATTATTGCTAGTTATCAAGAGTCATCAGAGAATGACCTATATTTGTTCAAAACATTTACCTCAGAGTCCATGAAAAAATTAAGTATGTTTTATGTATTAACTGGTAAAATAATTAAAGAAGTTAAGGACCATTAGTTAACATTAAAATAATTTCACAATTTTGGCATGTCAAAATCTGTGAAAGAATGTATAAAACAGTAAGAATTTGGTGCTACAGAAAAATAAGTGCGAGTTAATTATTCTGCAACATCAAATTTGAATTTCTTTCACGCTGTTTTATCTAACATTTATTTAGGTCTTTATAGAAAACCTTTATGTCTATGATCTCATTTTCCCATATTAAAAAAAAAAAAACACTTAACTTTTGTTTCTTTCATTTATCAACGAAATTTTCCAGACTGAAAAACCCAAATCTCTTTTGCCAAAGTCAGCTGGTAAAGAGTGATCCAAAAGTCTCCAATTCTGGAACCTGAGTTATTTGACACTCTGCATTATGGACCCCTAACTAATTATAGTATCTTTTTGGTCTCTTTAAAATTTCTCTCGATTAGAGGGTTTTCAAATTCTTCAAATAATAATATTCTATAACCAAATCTATGCTGTGGCATATTTTATAGTATATTGTATTAGTTAAAAATATTCTCTATATGTCAGTATATAAGAGCAAGTAGCATCTACTTTTTAAATGGGAATAGCAGTATAATTTGGAGATATGTATCATGAAACAGAGCCTGTTTGAAGAGAATTATATCAAGCTAATCACAACCAAGGAAGAATAGCATGAAACAGATACTGCCTGGAAGGCAGTTAAAATTTATTGGGAAAACTGTATAGTCATCTGTAGTTCCACTTTCTAGAGACAAGCATTACATCCTTCTATTTTTTTCCTATGCATGATTTTGTATATATGGCTATTTTTCTTTCCATAAAAATGGTATTAAACTGTATATACTGTTTTGTATCCTGCATATTTCATATAGAAGTATATTGTTAACATTTTCCCATGTCAATAAATATTCTTCTATGGCTTAATTTCTTATGGCTACATTGTATTCTATATTCTGGATATAACAAAACATACTAACTAGTCCCCACGTGTTTCCAATTTTTAAGTTTTTTCCAGTTTTTCACTATTATAAACAACTACAAAAAATGAAATCATTGTATACAGATTTTTGTAAATATCTCTGATTATATTCTTAGGAAAAAATCCAGAAATGGAGTTTCTAGGTCAAATGTTTGCACATTCTAATAGCTCAATTGATTTAGCCAAATTGTCCTCTAGAAAAAATTTCTCAGTTATATCCCCATTAGCATTGCATTAGAATATACTTAAAATTCCAAAGATGTGGGAAAATAGGCAGTCTGGTAGGTAAAACCACCAGTATCTTTTTTTTTAATTGATCTTTTTTGTTTTGAAATAATTACAGATTCACAAGGAGTAAAAATACTCAGCTTTCCCTAACAGTAACATTGTACATGACTATATTTACCAAAACCAAGATATATATTCTGGATCCAAGTTCTTTGTCAGGTATGCGATTTGCACTTACGTTCTCCCAGTTTGTAGCTTGTCTTTTCATTCTTTTAACAGTGTTTCTTGCTGTGAAAGTATTTAACTTTGATGAGATACAATTTCTCTCTTTTTTCAGTCATGTTTTTGTGTTATGTCTAAAGATTCTTTGTTTAACCCCAGGTCGTGAAGGTTTTCTTCTGTTCTCTTTTCAGCGTTTCATGTTTTTCATTTATACGTATTATCCATTGTAATTTATTTTTGTGTAAGATGTGAGATTTAATTTGAAGTTAATTTTTTTTCATTTGGTTGTCCAATAATGGAAGTGACTGATTTTTAAAATCAAACTTTTTACTGATGAAATTTTTACAAAATAAAGTTATATAACCAGCATTTAGATGGAGAAAAGGTCAGTACTAGCACCCCACAACCCCTCTTCATCCAGTCCAATCATTGCTGCTCTCCTCCCTGCCAAGTAACCACCTCCCTGATTTCTGATACCAGAAATGAATTTGATCTGTTTTGACTTATACTTGTTTTAAGTGGAATCACACAGTATGTACCCTTGTTTGGGCTCCTTTTGTTCCAACGTTTTGTGAGATTCATTTGGGTTGCTGCACATGCACTTCTTTCATTCTTACCACTGCATAATATTCCACTGAACGAACATGAGCTTTAGTGTCTACTGCCCAATGGTGTGCCGGTAAGTTTTTAACAACTGGCTCTAGGACGGGTGCTGATTTATAATGTTAGCCAGTTCCCATGGTGTAAATACTCCAACTCTGTCCAATTTCAAGCTACCAGTGTGAAATCAGTGGGCTTACAAAATTCCTGGAAATTTAACAATCACTCACTGTGAGCTCCAGTACCCATCACTCACTGCCAAGCAGTTTTCCAAAGTAGTTTGCAGATTTACACTCCTACTCGTAGTGAATGGGAGTTCTAGTTGCTGCCCATCCACGTCTGGCATCACCTGACTCCCATTTTACTCATGCAGTGTGGTGGGTAGTGGGATCACTTTGTGGTTTTAATTTGTATTTCTCTGATGGCTAATGAAACTGAACACCTTTGGTTTTACATTTACTACCTGTGGTGGCTGAATAACCTTGTAATGACACATTTTCTCCCCTTCCAGGAATGGAAATATGGGGTTCATCGTCAAGTTTGGTTCAGATACAGAGAAATACAGCTATAATTTTGCATATCTGAGCCCCTAGTCTGTAAATTTCAACATGCCATCACCACCTCACTGGTATACTAAATCTGTGAATTTATTAGGAAACTTAAATCTTTTTTTGCTCTTAGTTTCCTAATTTGTAAAAATGTGGGTTATGACTCTCTCTGTTTGAGGGATATTATGAGGGTTAAATGAGATGTGTTTAATGATACTTAGCATGTGATAAGCATCCAACAAAACCGTTAAGTAATTATTTTTTCACTATTTAGGGGAGAACTGTCCTATAGCAATACCTCTTTAAGACAGACTATTTCTGAGGATTTTAACAGTACCTGGAATTTTAAATTGACACTGAGGTTCCCAAGTTCTTAGGCTCCCCTAGGGAGCAACAGAGCACAGCAGCTCAGAGCTGGGTCTCAGGAGTCTGCATGTTTGAATCCCGTGTCCGCTTTTTTGCTTGCCTTGCTAGCTTGGGCAAGTTATCTGTTTCTCTGTATTCAGTTTTGAAAACCTTATGAAAAGCTAAGCTGGCCATGGGCTGATGCAGAAAGACTGCTTAGTTCGGGAGATACAATGGGAACCTTGAATCTGGTCAAGGACCATAGACGAAAGGTTGACAAACATTTTCTGTAAATAGCCAAATACTATATATTTTATGCACTGTGAGCCATCTCTTTCACAGCTACTCAGTTTTGTATTGTGAAAGCAGTCATAAACAATATATATGCTAATAATAGCACATGTTCCAACAAAACTATTTTTAGATACTGAAATCTGAATTTCATAAAATTCTCATGTGTCATGAAATACTCGTTTGATGTTTTCAACTGTATAAACGTGTAAAGGAAAACACTCTTCCTGTGTATTTCCTTTACTCTCAAAACCTCTACTAACAGAATATTTCACTTCTGACAGTAGGCTTCTTACAAATCAAGACATTCTGTGACACCAGCTTGATGTCCTACAACTCAATTCAGTTCTGCCACTGTCTACCTGGAGATAGCGTCGGATCCCACAGGTTAAGGGTTCAGTCCTACAAGACTGCCCCTCCCACTGCTTCATATGCCAATCTCAAGTCAGATTGCTTCTAAACAACTTGGTATAACCTGGAGCTTCTCATGACCCCCACCTCTGGTTGCTAGAGCTGCAGGCAGAACCCAGGAGAACATTTTACTTGCTAGATTATCACTTCATTATAAAAGAATATAACTCAGAAACAGCCTGATGGAAGAGATGCAGAAGGCAAGGTATATGGGAAGGGGTACAGAGCTTTCTGAACTCTGTCCTTTTGGTCTTTAATGGAAGCTTCACTACACAGGTATGGATCAGTTAAATCACTGGCCATTGGTAACTGATTCAATCTCCAGCCCCTCTCTTCTCCCAGAAGGTTGGAGGTGGAGCTGAAAGTTCCAACATTCTAATCACCTGCTGGGTTCCTCTGGCAACCATCCCGCATCCTTAAGGTTTTTCCAAAAATCACCTCATTCACTTAAACTCAAGTATTGGTTGAAAGGGGCTTATTATGAATAACAAGACACTCCTTTTACCTTTACGGTGCTGAAGCTATTTCAGGAACCAAGCACAAGAGACCAAATATTGTACCAAAAGATTCTCCCAGTGCTCTTATCACTTGGGAAGTTCCTAGGGTTTTAGAAGTTCTGTGAAGAAATGAGGATGTAGACCAAATATGTATTTCTAATTATAAGCCACAGTTATCACAACATGTAAAAACCACTTAACTCAGGAGCCAAACTATGGTTTGTGACCCAGAGTTGGCCAACCCCTGGTGTAGACCAGGTAGAGAGAGAGGCAGGTTGAAAGTATAATGCTAACAGATAGAATTTGGGTTTCTGAGCCTAGGGGAGATGGTTGGGTTTTGTTTTGTTTTGTTTTGTTTTCATTTAGCCCAGGTTTTGAGTTGTATACTGTTTCGGGGCATGATAAAACTAATTTGTATATTAGGACCCATAAAAGGGAGGCCACTCCAGTGGCCTGTCCCACATCTGTCACATATGTAAACCTAAGTCAGCCTGTACTTATGGGGAAGGCCTGTCAAGGAAACCTCATTTACACCAATCACAATCCTCCAACTTATGTTAGCTAGCTTACCTCACCCTAGAAAATGGGGTCTCCTTGCCAGTCATGCCCTATCTCTGCTATGCCTCTTCTAATGTGCTTTCAAACTTGCTCTTGCTCAAAATCTCTCAGGAAGAGTGCGCCGCTGCTTGTGAGGCTCTACCAATCCATGGATTGTCTTCTCTTGAATAAAGGACATCAACCCCCTTACCAAATTGTATCATTTTTGTCATCTGACAGCAAGAGATAAATCACAAGTATGCATTTGTAATCAAGGAGAACTAGATTTGGAAGTTAGAGCTGGATTTAAATTTTGGTTCCATGCCTTGAGCATGGAAATTATCTGGGATAAGTTACTTAGCTTCTTTGAGGCTTATTTTCTTCATCTGTTAAATGGGGCTAATAATCCTTCCTTGCAGGAGTTTTGGAGAGCTGAATGAAATGAGATAATGTATGAAATGTCATCAGTCTAAAGCTTCACACACAGTGGGAGCTCAATAGGTGATGGTTAGCATGTTTCTCATTGTAAAAGAAGTGAAATCAGTAATTGGTAAGATCTTGGCGCTGACAAAGAACTGAATATGCCACTGTAAAATATGCCTCTTTCGCATGAGTTATTTTGAGCTGATTTTTTCAAGAAACTGCAAACACAGCAGAAGCTTTGAAAACAGCATAGATTACAATCCTTTTGTAAGGGAAACCTACATTTATAAAGAAAATTTACATTAGAAAGGGGGCCTCTACCAGGATGAGAGCTATACCAGAAATAATTTTTCAGTTGGAGTCTTAAATGCAGGAAGGGCAATTTTTGATCACCAAACATTCCCGCCTCTCACCTGCCTGTAAATTGCCCCCTACCCTTTCCAACATCTTTTGTATTTAGCTGAAGATGGTATTTATGGCAGTGGCTTGGGCCATCTCAGGAGATTTACTCATTTTTCTTGGGTATCTCCCTTGTATATATGACACATACATGTTAATTAACTGTTTTTTTCTCGTTAATCTATTTTTAGCTAAGAACTCAGAATGGTAGAGGGAAAATTATTTTTTCCTCCCCTACAATGCAAAACAGAGTGAAAAGAAAAGCCAAGTGAGAGATGATGGTGGCCTGAATTGAGCTACTGGTAGTAGGAATGGATGGAAGTAGATGGATTTAAGGTATATTTAGGAGTAAAAGTGAGAGGACTTGGCATTGGAGTTGAGACCTGCAGAAAAGAAAGGAGTTAAAATGGCATTCAGGTATGAGAATGGGCAACTGGGTAGATG